CTTTCCATGAAGTATTCTCATCGATAAGTATTCCTAAAAATTTTGTTGCTTTGGTTCTTTCGATAAATTTATTTTCTATTTTTAGAGACGGTAATGGAATTGGTATAGATTTTTTCCTTTGATTGGTGTGAAATAAAATGTAGTTGGTTTTTTCTGTACTCAATGATAATTTGTTAGATTTAAACCAAGTATTAAGTTTTTCAAGCTCAATACCTGCAGTTTCGAAGAGTTCTGCGATAGAAGTAGATGAATAAAATAAGTTTGTATCATCTGCAAACATTATGGCATCAAGTTTTTTTGAGACTTTTGGAAGATCATTGATGTATAGCAAGAAGAGTAGGGGAGCTAGAATGGAACCTTGGGGAACTCCGCATTTTATTTTAAGTAATTTTGAATGGGTATTTTTATCCATAATAACACATTGCTGTCTGTTTATAAGAAAGCTCTCAAACCAATGTAAAGCAACATTTTTAATGCCATATTGTAGTATAGCATGATCAACAGTATCGAATGCTTTCGATAGATCAATAAAGATTCCTAGAACAAATTTGTTATTATCAAAAGAGTCATTTATTTTATTTACAAGATCTATAATCGCATGTTCGGTTGAATGTTGTTTTTGAAATCCGAATTGTTTTTTATTCAAAATATTGTTAATAGTTAGGTATTTATATAGTTTATTGTAAACTATTCGTTCTAGAAGTTTAGAAAAGACAGAAAGGATTGAGATGGGTCTGTAGTTATTAAGTGAGCATTGCTCTCCGGATTTAAATATTGGTACAACTTTTGCAATTTTTAATTTGTCTGGAACAGTTCCTGTTGTAATTGAAGATTTAAAAATTTCGAATATGGGTTTGCGTATCACCGGGAAGACACTTATTACTACGTTGCTAGAAATCTCATCAATCCCTGGTGCTTTGTTAATTTTTAGAGAATTTTTTGCAGCTTCGAGTTCATCATAGTCTAGTCCATTGAATTTTAGTTCGCTTTGTTGATTTGTAAGATAGGTTTCAAAATAGGTATTTGGGCATTGAATTTTGGACGCCATGTTAGGGCCGATGTTTGCAGAGAAACTGTTGAAATGTTCGGCTATAGAACTTTTATCGTTGTATTCTTTTTCATCCACAACAATTCTATCAGGTAAGGTATTTGTTTTGGTATTTTTTTTCCCGATTATTTCTTTCATGATGTTCCATGATTTTTTAATATCGCCATTGGTATTTTGAAGTAGTTTTGAGTAGTATATTTTTTTAGAGTTTTTCCTTATTTTTTTCAAAAAGATTTTTGTATTGCTTGTAGATAGATAAGTTGACTTCATTTCTGTTTTTTAAATATTTTATGTAGAGTTTTTGTTTTGTTTTAGAGGATTTTTTAATTCCACTAGTAATCCATGGACAGTTCAAATATTTTTCTTTAACTATTTTTTCTTCGATCGGGAAATAACTATTATAATGCTTAAAAAAAATATCGATAAATGTATTATATGCGGAGTTTGTGTCCTCAAGGTTGCATTATGTTAATATTTAAATCATATAAAAAAAAAAATATTTTTTGCATTTTGTATAAACATTTTCAACAATGCAAACATCAATAATTTTGAGTTATAAGTTTTTATTTTTTTCAAAAATATTATTTAAAACCATCGGATCAACCTGTATCAACCGCTTAAAATGATATATAATTGAATACCAATATGACATTGATCTTGTGGTATAAAAGTTGGCTGCCTATAGCTGCCTAAACGAATACAGTTTTAAATTCAATTAACTACGTCCACGTTTCTTGTTAATGCGTTTTTGATCGATAACAAAAAATTTAAGAAGATTTAAAATTTAAAAACTGCATTTCTGAATATCAAGTGGTTATGAAATTAACTCATCCACATTTAAATCATTCTGTTGGGAAACTGCTTCGTTCTATGTATTCCTGTACCCTTGGTATCCTATGACTCAAACACTTCATAAGATTTTGATTCATGGCTATGAAGTCATTGAACTATTTACTCTTCCATTAGGTATGTTTTCTGAAAAGGCTCAAGAGGCTACCAATAAGGTTTTTAAGTTTTTTCGTGAAAATTTTACAAGAAAATGCGATCGGAAAAAAAACAATATAGACCTTTTTCACCGCCTTTTATGTGCATCTGATCCTTTAATTTGCACATTAAGAAAGAAGATACATAACAAAAAAAGTCTACCATCTGGTGTACTTGAACTATTGCAAGAGCCAATGATAAAATACTCTGCGTAAAACATAAATTTAAATAATATCCTTGTTGTTAATTTTGTTGGGTAAAAACGGAATTTTTATAAATGGAAAATAAATGAGTTTTTTAATAATTTGCGTAATTATGTAATAAAATTTGAAGTTTTTAAAAAACAAATGTTATTTTTTCCACAAATTATGTTTTTCAATATAATAAACTGTTTCTAACTAAAAAAATAAAAAAATTTTGGTTTTAGAGGTTTTGGCTAGAAAATGTTACTTTTGACCCACTGTGCACTGCTTACATTTTTTTGTAGGTTTTATTTTTTTTCTCCTATGGAAGTGTCAATGGGTAATGGAAACTTGCCAAAGGTCTTCTTACATATGGTTTTAGTTTTCGTTTTCCAATAAAACTTTTTATAATATTCTCTCAAAACTCAACAAGATGGAAAAACTCTTTATTATTTGAAAATTTGGGATAAAGGTAAAAAGAATTATTTAACATTATTTCCAGGATATGGACTCCTATTTTTTTGTATCACCTCAAAGTTTTTCGTAGACCGGATTGATAGCATAACCTCTGGTCCCTTCTATCAATACCAGACATTGAGTTATTGTAGTTTCGGACAGTATTTAGGTTTTATATTTATTTTCCGGTTGGTAACTTTTACCATTTTGGGAACGTGTGCTTTGGATTTGGAAAGCAAGTCTTCTTTTGCCTTTCCATTTGCAAACTGTAACGTCATTTTGAGACTTCAAAAAAGACGTTACAGTTTGCAAATGGAAAGGTTACTCTCCATTCTTTAATTTTGCGTTTTTAACTGCCTTTGGGATCTGGTTTTTAGCTTTCTTGAGAGTCTCTGTGATTTATTCCAATAAAATTTTTCATCTCATAGAGATGGACATCTTTCCATTGGCCCCATAATCTATATCGTAATGGTCTTACTGGATTAATAACTCTGTCACCATATTTATTTATTTCTGCAACAAAATATTCAGTGAGTCATCTATTAGTAACCAATAAAAATAAAACTTTTGATATTTGGTGGATTTTTTCCAATCAATACCTCACTTAATATGTCGTTATTTAGAGTAACCAAGTCGAGTTGTTAAATTGATGGTAAACTTCTAAACCCTCCCCTAGTTCGCATTCTACCTCTTGTTAAGAGGTATATCTGGTATATCAACTTCTTGTACATGCGCATCCTCATAAAAGAATCAGACTAGGAACAAGGGGGGGGGGGGGGCTATAGAAATAGTCCTTTCACAATAATCTTGATCTGGATCAGAACAAGATAACGTCCAATCATTACTAAACTTATCATTACTGATAGAATCACATGATTTCACCTCTTCTAATTCATTATTCATTATCAGTTCGAAGGCCTATCGACGCTATATCTACAAACCATTATATTTGTATAGCAAAACAGAGATTAAAAAGTGACTAATTCAAACTATTAAACTTATATTTGAAACAATTATATATAAAATTTATATATCAAAAAATAAAAATAAAATAACATTTACAATAAATAAAATAATGAAACAAAAAATAAAAAGCATAAATAAAATAATGAAGGAAAAAATAATAAAAAGAATCTAAAAAAAGGCGTTACCTTGAGCAGGCAGTTACTTGAAAGGAAAAAAACTTTTTTTTGGATGAAGTTCATAGTTTACACTGAAACAACTTCAATTTTACTGAATTCTAACAGTAATAAAGCAACTCAATTGGATTTTTTTGCTGACAAATATCTTCGTTTTCCGTACTCTATATAAAAACCTCTTCCACACTACAGAAAACGAGTATACTCGTCACGAGTATATTCACTTTCCATTGTGCGCATAAAATCATGTTCCGCATTACGTTTGTCGAGTATACTTGTCATTAATATTCAATAAAAATAAGATTTAAAATTTTATTTTTATAGTTTAAATAAAATAAAAAAATATTTGGTTTGTGAGTTTATAGTGCCAATAATCCGCCGTATTTTAGCAACAATCGCTGAATATCGCTCCGTACACAACGTGTTAAGTAGCAAAAAATTAATGAATATAAACTAAAATTACCATAAATCCTTAACCATTAAACCAATCCGACTGAAATTTTATCCAGAGTTTGGCCATATGCTACATTTGTACCAATTTTATCAAATTATATGTAGTGGTTCTTATTATACAGGTGTTTTTATTATCGCAAGTCAAAATTTCACTTAATTTGAACATTCAAATCAAATTATTTTCCGCGGACAAAATTAAAAGATTTAAAAATTTGCATCACAAGGTACCTTGATGACTACGCTAGAACCCCATATAAGTGGCGTTCTTGGGTCAGCTAGGTTGGCATTATCAGGATACGTGCTAACCGTATGCTGTTACCAATAAAAGATTGTTATCGTATAAATATCACTAATGAGAAGTTATTACCAATGAGAGATTGTTATCGTATAAATATCACCAATTTGTTCATTTCTTGAACCGACATTTGTCTACCTACCTTCAATAAAAAATGTATGAAAGCGCAAATTGAAAAGTTAAAAAAAAAAACTTGCCTTTTAAGATTTATTCATAAAATATATAATTGGTACTTTTTTTTAACGAGTGGACAGTTTTTTCCGCGCGGTAGCACGTATTTTTGCAAAATGTATAGAAATACACCTTACGCACATACAAACAATAACTGTCGTGTAATAATATTTTCGACAAAAACTGAATTTAGTTTCTTCATGAAAAAAATTAAGTATTAAAGCATTAATTAAAAAACAAAACAAAACAAAACAAAAACACAAATTTTCAGTTTTTAACTATTATTTTTTTAACACAATGTTCTTATAAAAACTCTTAACATATTATTTGGAGAATTATCTAGAAACAAATAAACTTATCAAATTGTTTAAATTATTACAATTAATTGTAAATAGATTGCTATAAATATAGTTAATTACTAATATATGAATACCCAAGTAAATTGAAAAAACTAACTAGTAAATAATATATGAATACCCAAGTAAATGAAAAAACTCAAGTAAATTAAGCATATGATTTTACTTCGAGTTTGGTGTGTTCATGTGTAACGTAAAACGATTACTAAAATTTTCTTCAGTTTCTTGATGAGCAACTGGAGTAGGATAGGGTCTTAAAACAAAACTTTCTCCTAAATCAAATAATGATGGTTTTGAAGTTTACAAAAACTTTATTAAAAATCGTATATAAAAATTTACAGCATACCCTCGACGTGAATAGGAGAGTTATGGCAACTCACAAGTTTTTGATTCTTGGGCATTTCGATTATAGAAGATTGGGAATGTCGATTTGAACCTAAAAATGCGTTGGCGTTAATCATGCATTAACTGTGATAATGTTACGATAGTTATTTAAGCTAAATTTATTTTTTACTTCAAGAAACATGCTGTTTCTTAAAGTAAAAATGACATTTATGTCTTCATTGATTTTAAAATAATAGGGAGTGAGGGGTAAAAACATGAGTTTTTACCTCTCACTTCTATTATTTTAAAATCAATAAAGACATAAATGACTGTTGAACTATATAAAAATATCGGAAATTTGGTACTAAAAAGACGAGGAAAGAGAGATAAAGAAAGAGAGAGAGAGAGAAGGGGGCGAGGAGTAATTTGTTAAATAGTTATTTAAATTTATTTTCAAATTTTGCTAAAATTAACATTTCAATCAATTAAAAAATATATCAAAATAGTATTAAATATAAAAAATTTAATAAATAAAAAAAAAATCAATAAAAAAAACAAACATTAAATAAAATAATAATTTATTGTTGAGGTTTAAAAAAATAACAATTAAAACCAATTAAATATAAATGTCTATATATATATATATATATATATATATATATATATATATATATATATATATATATATATATATATATATAAATTTTTTATTTTTGTAATTATAAGCAAGAGTGTGTAATCACCAATTAACTTTATATAAGAGAAAAGTACTTATGATAGCACGGAGCTTATGATGCCATACTAGTTATATTTCCTCAAACATTGTCTTAGATGAAAAAGTGACTACATTTACTAAACCTACATTTGTATTTTGGCTTTGCATTACTTTTATGAAAAAACCTACCTTTTGCACAAATATAGTTCTCATAATCAACAAAAATCAAATTTGGGATACGGTGATGTAGATTAATCCCTTAATTTATTTCAGATGATTCTATTCTTAATCGTAAAAAAAATGTCGTGCATTTCATCTACAGGTTTGTGTATTAATTGGAATACTTATTTTAATGATTTTTTTTTTAACAAGACAGACACAGCTTGTTTTAATGAAAATGTTGTTTTTTTCCTATAATGACATATTGACAAGTTGCACATGTTGGTATATGTATGTGATCATAGGACAGGTGTATAAAAGTACAATACATGCAAAGGGCATGCATACATTTAAATGTAAACTAATTCAACAAATCTTTTTTAATTTTAAAGAAAATGTTTAATTTTAGGAACTTACATTTACTTATCCATTTTTAAAATACGCTCTAACGTATCATGAATTGTTGCATATGATCTTTTATTTTTCAAATAGAATATATTTCAAAATAAATAATCTTGATGAAGAAAAGCAAAATTCTTGGCCATATGTGGAGAAGTATTTTATGTTCTGCTGCAAGTTGCAAGTGTTGATTCTACAAAAGATTGGTTGCTCCAAGTGCAACACGCTGGAACTTAACATATGATTCTGTTAAGGCGTTAAACAACTAATTAGATGCTAATAGGCCAGTTCATCGTATAATGAGCTATGTATAACATGGTATAATGAGTAAAAGCTGTTCATCGTATAATAACTCAATTTAAGCTTTCTCCATTTAAAGACTGGGAAATTCAGTTCCTGAATGAATATGCCAGTGTCATGGAAAACGTTGCTAAAAATGTTGCTTTAGAATAAAGTTCAATCATTGAACTTTATCCAAAGAGGATAACTTTATGCTCTTTTTTTATTCTTCCCTTGTTAACTCTTTGAACTCAGGAATTTTCAAAAGATTTGGTCCACTCTTAAAAGACCGAGATTGTCAACTGGCATCAGCATTTCACCCAAAGATTCGTTTATTTTGGCCCGGAAAAATAAACCTAAGCCAAGTTCTTCAAGTGTAAAGAGCTATGGAAGTAGCATGGAAAATGCACTGATTGAAAATACTTAAGAGCCAACCCCAGAGCTAAAGATTCAAAGAAAGATGATGCTTTTCACTCAACCTCAAGATCTTAATGAAAAATTAAAAAATCTCTGGTTCTAAACTTGGTGAAAACATGGTTAGCCTTTAGTTAGGGTATTTAGATTTTTCAAAACTTCTTTCAAAGTCTAATATTGTTTGTTTTAGTTTTCTTCACATAATTTGAGATAATAAGCTTTTTCACAGTTTTCTGACTATAACTCTTGCCTGTTGAAGTTTCAGTTTCAGTTTTTAAAATATTATGATTAAAATATTCCAGTAAAAATATTTTCAAACAAGTTGAGAATGTTATGAGCATAGACAAACAAAGAAGTAAGCTTTTCCACATTAGATAAAACACAAGAACTAAAGAAATCAACATATTTAGAAATAAGTTCTCCTGCATCAGATTGCATTAAAACTTCTGTGTGGACTATGGACTAATATTTTGCATTGCATGGACTAATATTTTGGATACAAAAGTTTTCTCCCTTGCCTTTAGCAACTCCTAAAACAGAATTTAAAAGAATAAGAAAAGAGGAAAACTAGAAAAATACTTCTCTAAATATCCAAGAATTAAAAGACAAAGCAATAGAAAATGATAATATGTAAAAAGAAAAAGGCACAATTATAGTTAAAATGGAAAAAATTTTAAAACTTGAAGACTGCCATGAGAAAAATAATACAAGTAAAAATGAAAATAATTTTGTATCTGATGCAGGATGTTTGTTTTGTAAAGAACTTTTTCACAATCTTACTCTAAAGAACTTGGGTTTGCAGAATTTGCTGCCAAAAATGCAACTCTTGATTTCATTGGTTATGTGTGGCATAGATAAAAAAAATTTTAAAAATTCATACTTGAAGTATTTTTTACAAATTTTTTAATGATATACTGTGTTAATATTGATTTAAAAAAAAAGGATTGTTTGCATAATATTTTGAAAGAATCCAATCATAAGAACAGTTGGTTGCCTATTTTGGAATAATGCAACTAGATGTGGCTTCTTTCAGATTTGTCCAGTTAGAAACCTCCCTTATTTTAAACCATGCATGTGACCAGGAACATAAGGAGATATGAAAGAATCCTAATAAGTAATATATTGCTGTTCCGCCTTGCTGAATTTAAACATCGCTGTTTTGTTTGTAACTCCAATTTGGATAAAATATTTGTATCCAAATATTGCCTAAAGGCAATGCATGGTCTGGAAAAAGAATTAACAAAATGCTCTATTCAATGCATACATATCATTGATGCTAGAAAAAAAAAATGAAGCAAACCTAGCCAATAGCTTACAATCATCTTTCCAGGTTTTTACAGTAGGAGGATGAGGAATTTTATGCAGGGTATTGTATAATTTTTTAATTGTTGATATTTTTCTTTAAGTTTATTTATAAACTTAAAATCAGTTAAAACAGACGATTTTGTTGATGTTGGCAAGTTAAATAATAAATTTTTTTGAAAATAAGGTTCAAAATCTGAGCATTATACCCCATAATACAGAATAGGTCTATTAAATCAAAATTCCTATTATTTCATCAGAAGGATCATAAGACCCATCTGAAAGAAAATTATTTATTAAACCATATGTATCTTAAAATAAATAATATAAACTTTACTAACTTGTATTGAAAGTACATGAATCACAAATGATAAGGGAAATTTTATGGGCAAGATGTATATAATTGCTTTACATACATGCTCAACAACAGTGTGGCTGGTTAATACACAGCTTTTGCTTAAAGTCATTTTATGATCAAAACAGATTTATTTGCTTTTTATTTCAATATTTTGTAAAAGATATCAAATGGCATAAGGAAATCAGTATTAGATTTTTTCTTCAAACATATTCTTAAGCTTTCAAAAATTCATTCAACTTCTTTGGGATTCCAGCTCTGGATAGGAGATGTATGTGATGGTGAATAGGTGATAGCAAGACTTTTTAGGTATTACCTAAATATTAAGGTATTACCTAAATATTATTTTATGGATCTCTATCTTTTTCTATATACCTTTAAGTACCTATCTATTCTATCTATCATTAAGTTTGACATTATTCTTAATATTAAGTTTTAAATTCTTACTAAATTAAGAGCAATTAACTTTATGGTATGGTGTATAGATGATGGCAAGCTAAATTTCATATTTCATGCTCCAAAATATTTGTATATCAGCTTTTGAAGGCAATGTGGAGCATGCTGTTAACTAGATCGTGATGTTAGCCAAAATGTACCAAACATCTGGAATAGTCTTGAAATTGGCAAAAACTAATTTCAAGACTATTCCAAAAGCAGCATGAGAAACCAGCAGTTCCCTGCATTCTTTTGAACATGTTGGCTTAAAGTTGTTTGCTTTTCTCTTTGGTGCTCTCTTTAGCACTTAAGCCAGAGATAATGGAAATATATTATAACTAAAATAAAAATCAAAAAACTTTATTCCTACTTCAATAATGATAGTTAACTTTATATTATATTTGCTATTAACTTCAGCTAATTTGAAAAACACAAATTCTCCAATATTTCAAAGTATTTTACTTCTATACAGTAACTAGTTGCACCTGATTTGTGCTGCTAAATGAGCTGAAATAAGTTAAATTTTGCATAATCAATGTTGGCACAGTTGTGACGGCTGTTAAAAACAGTTGTTGAATTGTTTTGAGTTGCATATTACCATATTATACTAGAATGTCCATGCGTGATACTGCCAAGCATTGGTCCTCGCGATATTTATTTATGGGATTTAGTAAATAATAAATCGATCGTAGACAGTTCTTCAAGATTTTTATGACTTGACAGGAAATTTAGATGTTGAAAAAAAATTACAATTTACAATACAAAAAGTATTGATAAAACTTAATTCAGTTTTGAGATTATTGAGTAGAATGGGTTGAAGCTTATGGATTATATTGTTTAAGGATGTTACATTAGTGTAATAACAGGTTAATGAAGTTCAAGATAAATTCCTGAATATTGGCATTTTTGAAAAATGTTTAGTTTTGAAAATGTTAAAATTTAACATACATAAATTTTTCTTCATGACTATTTTATTCATTAGAAGAGAAATCAATATTTTTAAAGAATAATTTCCGATATATTACAACAGCCATATCAAAAAGTTAGGCTAAAAACATTCATTTATAATAAAAAAAAAAAAGATTTAAATATTGTAATTACCAAATGAAGCAGAGCCAAAAGGAATTTGAAATTGACTGCTTTTTGAAGCGGGAATGGCTGGTTTAGGGGGAACTTCCTCCAAAGCAGCAGGATTTATTGAACGTCTAAATGTACAACATATATTTTAATAATGTATATATTTTAATAAATGCATGTAAAATAAAAAAAAAAACGCTTAAGTTAATAATGTCAATAAAATTGCAAAACCTTGTTTGAGAAACTAATTTTTTTTATTTTTATTTGTTTGACACAAAGGTATTTATAATAATAGAGACATTATTCTCAACACTTTATTATTTTAACTAAACAATTTTATTTTAAAGATTTTTTTTTGACATTATTTTCAACACTTTATTATTTTAATTAAACAATTATGCGGTAGTGGTGTAGTGGTAGAGCGCTCGCTTCATAAACGAGTGGTTCCGATTTTGATCCCCACCACGTCCCTGGTAGTACTGCGCTCAACTTGTTTCTCTGCGCAGCGGCCTTGTTTGTCAAGGTTCGTGTTTCGGAGTTATAGAGTTGAGAGAGGGTTATAGCCACAAAATAAGTAGCCTCCTCGTCTGTAGTGGCCTTCTCGGCCTTGAGGAAGTGAAGTATTATAAAAAAAAAAATAAAAAAAAAATTATTTTTAAGTTTTTTTTTTGACATTATTTTAAATTTCTATAAAATCTTAATTTAGGTGAAAAAGTGCATATGCGATGTTTTGCAGTTTAAATGCAAGTAAGTAAAGAAAATGGGCTTCAGTCTAAATACATAAGCATGATCTGGATTAAAAATCTCTAGTATCTCTGTATCTATTGTATAAAGCCTTAAGCAGAACTTTATACTTTTGAACGGTAAAGCTACAGTTAAGTGGCCCAAAACAGTTTTTTTTGCTTGTTGCGCTCTCGTCAGTGGAGATATTTTAAATGAAAAGAATATTTTTTGGCTTCAGTACATACATCAACTATCTTTTAGCCTACTACTGCTGCTAGGAAGTATGCTGCTATATCAACTGAACATTTTCTTTTATTATTTTAATAAATATGTTTTTGGAGTATTTATTGAAAAGAGAGCAACAAGTAAAAAAATAAAATTATTTAGGGCCAAATAACTGTACAATTATCTTTTTGAACTATATGTTGATGCAATCTTGTAAAAGGTATACAGGTTCATTCTTAAACTATTTTACAATAGCATCAATTTTTAAAAAACAATTCTGCCAGCCTATTTAAACAATGTGCAATAATTTAAACAATCTAGTTCACACTTAAAAATAATAATATAATTATAATTTAAACAATAATTTATAATTATAATTAAATAACAATAATTTTAATTATAATTTATAATTTAAACAATAATTTATAATTATAATTTAATAACAATAATTTTAATTATAATTTATAATTTAAACAATAATTTATAATTATAATTTAATAATTTATAATTTTAATTATAGTTTAAACAATCTAGTTCATACTTAAAAAAGACTTAAACACAGTGTCTTTAGTTTCCCATTATCTATTTTCAAAACTATTCAGCCCATGCATATGAAATACTATTAGGATCATTCCCATAACTATAATAGCAAACATACCTTACGTCCATTTTAAACAAAGTTTGCCATAAGGTATGTTTGTTATTAAAGTTGATTGTTGTACCGTTCAGACCATATATAGATTTAAAATTATGCCATTTTTCAGTTAAACCAAATAATTCTTAAAAGTTAACATCTTAGATAAGTTTTTATATAATTAATTAAGTTAAAACATCTGTTATAGTATGTAAACTTATCCTTATATAATTCTTTATAATAAAATACAATATTTCTAGGGGTTATATATACCCTCGTTATTCAAGTAATATAAAAAAACCGTTAAAAAAACAAATAAACAAATAATAAAACTTCAATGTAATTTGTTCTTGCATCTTAAACAAGAAAAATAAGGTTTTCAAAACGACGACGTGATGTAATCGCCGTCGTCTTCATTCAAACCACCTTCATTTAAAGAGCACTGGTGATACTGAATTTCGTAAAGTATTCTGAACTTTGCGAAGGAGTTTTTGAGTCGAATCATAGTTTATGATTTTAGATTTTCCAAGTTGTTCTTCAATTTTTTTAAGAGCATCAATTTTATTAATTCGAACAAAGCCTGATCCTTTATCAAACGGATAAATACTAATAAAGAATACTTTACGAAATCTAAAAACAAAGTTTACAAAAAATGAATATAGATCAATTTATCCAAGTGATGCCACTCCTCCACGATTATATGGTGTCATCAAGGCACACAAACCAACTAATAACTACCCAATGCAAATTATAGTAAGCACAATAGGGTCACCTACATATAAATTATCCAATTATTTAGTTAATCTCATTCAACCTACCTCCAATCTAAACAAAACAAAACTTCGAAGTTCAAAACAATTTGTTGAATGTGCTCAAACATGGTGTATCGATCTTGGTGAATTTCAAGTTTCCTTCGATATTGTTAATCTTTACCTTTCAATACCAGCTAAAGAATCAATCAATATTCTATTAGAACAATTCCATAATTCAAAATTTTAATTCAAAATTATCGTTTTCAGAAATAAAAATACTTTTAGATTTGTGTTTATCAAACTGTTATTTTTTACATGAAAACAATATACACACATTAGAAGATGCCGGTCCTATAGGTTTATCATTAATGGTAGTAATGGCAGAGAGTTTTCTGCAACATTATGAAGAAAAAGCTTTAATACAGGCACAATATCTTACAACACCAATATGTGTAAAATCTTTCAAAAGGTATGTTGACGATACCCATTCCGGTTTTAATAATGAGGCAGAATCAGAACGTTTTCTTGACTTGTTAAACAACCAACACACAAGTATCAAATATACAATTGAAAAAAAAAGTGACTCACACACAATAAATTTTCTTGATCTCTCAATAACAAATAACAAATCTGGAACATATCTTTTTAATATCTATCGCAAAGATGCAATAACAAATGCGTAAATAAAGCCGCATTCTTGTCACGATCCAAAAATAATTTATGGTGTATTTAAAGGTTTTATCTAAAGAGCTTTTGCATTATGCAGTAAAGAAAACATAAATTTGTCAAAAAAATTAAAAACAATAAGAAAAATAATCAACAAAACAACAACAATAACATCAAAAAACTACAACTTAACTATATTTCTCTGCCATGGGTACCAAAATTAAGTAATCAATTAAAAAAGATATTTAAAAATGCTGGCTATACTTCAGTTTTTAAATTACCAAAAAACCTTCAACAATTAATAACTCAAAAAAACAAGCCTCGACTTCCCAACAACTCTTATTCAGGAGTCTACAAACTGGAGTGTTCGTGTGGAAAACTTTATGTAGGTGAAACAAAACTCAAGGTTTCAAATCGCATTTACCAATATCAAAAACATACTTTTGAGGGAAAATGGAAAAATTCAGCTGTAGCGGGACATTCCAGAAATTGCCATGGTGCCTTTAGCTGGAATAAAAACTATTTTAAGAGAAAAGTGAGAGAGTCTTTGGAAATTCAGTATCACCAGTGCTCTCCAAATGAAGGTGGTTTGAATGAAGACAACGGCAATTACATCATGTCGTCGTTTTGAAAACCTTATTTTTCTTGTTTAAGACGCAAGAACACATTACATTGAAATTTTATTATTTGTTTATTTGTTTTTTTAACAGTTTTTTTATATTACTTGAATAACGAGGGTATATATAACCCCTAGAAATATTGTATTTTATTATAAAGAATTATATAAGAATAAGTTTATATTTTATAACAGATGTTTTAACTTAATTAGTTAAACCAAATGCTTTCAATTAATTTGTACTTTTATAGAGAGAAAACAGAAATGCCTAATAGCAAAAAATAGATGTATCTTAACAGTGAAAATAAACATATCTGAATGCATAAACAAACAAACAAACAAACAAAACACTAATGAATTATCATAAAGAAAAGAAAGCAATAATAAAATCACCTTCTTAGTGTGTCATACATAATCTAAAATCCAAAAAAGCAATACAAATATAAAGCTTTACAAACAAAAGCAAGTTTTACAAATAAAACACTTAACAAATAAATGAACAAAATTAACACTTATTACAGAAAAACATAAAAGCAAATAGAGTAAAAAAAATAAAATATAATTTACACTCTGCAAACTAACACCCTGCAAATTTACACACACACTTATAACTGTAAACTATTGCACAAAACTCAATGTATGTCAATATTTTTTAAGTATCTACATTTACATTAAAAAAACAACACAAAACAATCAATCAACAACCTTACTACTACTTATTATAACATTAACTTTGACTTTATGTATAATCTGAATTCTATTTATAATCTATTATTTATAATCTGAACTATTTATATAATAAACTTTATTATTCTATTATTTATTACAGTAAATTAATTTTATTTAAAAAAAATTAGTATTCTCATCATCACTCATTATCATTACTATTGTTATCATTGCTAGTAGTGGTAGTAATAGCAGTAATAGTAGTAGTAGTAGTAGTAGTAGTAGTAGTAGTAGTAGTAGTAGTAGTAGTAGTAGTAGTAGTAGTAGTAGTAGTAGCATGAAAATCTGCAGCACATTTAAAGAAAGGTTAAATAGTGCGGAGCATGTCAACAGTAGATGACGCCCTGTGGCAGTTTTGCTGATTAGTTGTCCAAATTGTTAAGCAATACCTTGAATAATTTTACATCTTTGGTATATGAGACCGTTTATTATAACTTTATATATTAGGGCTGTACCGAATTTCGGCTCCGGCTCCTGCTTCGGCCAAAATCCGGCCATTTTTACAAATCCAGCCCAAATCTGGCTCCGGCAAAATGTTAGCAAATCCGGCATAATTTTGGCCGGATTTGTGGATGTTTATTACATCTTTCTTACCTGTGATAACATGTATACATAATACTTAATTTTTGAACTTCATGTTTGTTTTGGTATCTGTATTTACATTTTTTTACAATTTAATTAGCTAAGCCTAATTTCAAACAAGAACGCAACAAAAAATTCTGAAGAGAAGACACACAATATTCTGCAATAATGCAGGTGTAAAGACTATGAAGTCAATTCTAATCAACTCATTAGATGAGCGTTTCAAAAGCATTGAGGAGAAACCTTTTTAGATTGAAAAAAATAAAGAAAATCCAGCAAAACAATCCCGGCTGGATAATTCTTATACATTATCATCATTACAATGACAATATATATAGATGAAATTATTCAGTCTACGCCCGCTTGTGGCACAGCACATGAACAACAATTACCAACAGGCATTGACACTCAGCTAAGCCAATATCTGGAAGAATCAGAAATATATAGACACACTGATTCACTACAGTGGCGGAGTGACAACTTCCCGGGAAAAAAAGTTCTGTAGAATTTCTCTAAATTTTTGAAACATATGGCCTATAGAAACTCTATAAAATTTATATAAAATCTCTATTAATTTCTATAGAAATTGCTATAAAACTTTTAAACAACAAAAATGATGTTTAATAGAAAACAACCTGATGGGCATTTGTTTTTAAAAGTTACGTTCTGAATGTGTTTTAAATGTCTTTTAAACGTCTTTTAAACATTAATGTTTAAAAGACGTTTAAAAGACATTTAAAATACATTTAGATCGTAACTTTTAAAAAGAAATGCCCGTCGGGACTGTCACTTGGTGATCTAAATAGTCAACATTGTTGACCATTTTCAACACCAAGTAGGGATATACAGGATTTTGGTTCCTGTAGTTTTGCTTCAAAATCCGGCTCCGGCTCCGATTCCGGCCGGATCTGTTAGTAAAAATCCGGCAAATCCGGCCGGAAAAATTAAATCCGGTACAGCCCTATTATATATATATATATATATATATATATATATATATATATATATATATATATATATATATATATATATATATATATATATATATATATATATATATATATATATATATATATATATAAACCAAATAGGACAGGATTCCAAACAATTCATCTTTTATATACATATATATATATATACACAAACACACACACATATATATATACACATACATATACATATATATATATACACACACAATATATATATATATATATATATATATATATATATATATATATATATATATATTATATATATATATATATATATATATATATATATATATATATATATATATGTATATATATATATATATATATACATATATATATATATATATATATATATATATATATATATATATATATATATATATATATATACATATATATATTTATATGTACAAATATTCTACAACTTTTTTCATGTCTTATGTCAACTTGTTTCTCTGCGCAGCGGCCTTATTTGTCAAGGTTTGTGTTTCGTTAAGAATGTTTGTAAAAAGATTATATATATATATATATATATATATATATATATATATATATATATATATATATATATATATATATATATATATATATATATATATATATATATATATATATATATATATATATATATATATATATATATATATATATATATAACTTTTGGTGTTTATTTTAGTACTTTGTCATATGTCTTTATCTTTTAATCACTAATTGTGAATGTTTTGGCAGTTTTTAGTTTCAAGTCAGGTGAATTGCCACAACATTCAAAAACATTAATTCCTTTGCTATGCATCCATTATATCAATCTTTTTCATGCGTGGCAACTGGCATTGCCTGCATAATAATTTTAGACTCATGGATGGCATAGGCATCTAAAAGTTTTGCTTCTAAAACATTAATATAGTGTTTGGGATTCACTTTTTGATTCTTAGAGAGAAAATATCACTTTCCTCTTTCTCGGTCGTGTTTAGAGTATTTAACAGCTTTCTGTGTGTTCAGGGTATTAAATCTGTAAAAGTATGAGATTAGCACACAACATTCAGCCTTGCTTATGATGAAAAAATTACTTATTATTACATCCAATGCCTACATCTACAGTAGGAAGTAACCTGGGGCCCCCAGGCTAAAAATGAGACTTTTTACAAACCCGGCCTCAGCCACAGCAAAATTATAAGACTTAGCAAGGGTTGATAGCCAGGGCTAGAAATAAATTTACGATTCTTTATATATTATAATTTTATACATACATTTACAATTTATTAAATACTGGCATATATTTATATATTTTTAAACTCTTATTTACTTCAAGCAACCACTATTAAGTTATGTTACTTTAAAATAGAGGATAGGTTAAAAAGCTAAGAAACGGTTAATTAAAGACTTAAAAAGTTGTAGGTTGTATAAAAAAGGTTGTATAAAACATGAAGATGGGTAAGAGTTATAATGCTTTTTTAATGTGCAAAGAAAAAAAATGGATTAATAAAAGTTTTTATATTATGAAGGGACAGATACAGAAAAAAGATGCAATTTGTTGAATAGGAAGCCAACCATATATGCATATATATACAAAATATAACATTTTGAATAAAAATAATATACTTTAGGATGTATAAGTGTTTATGCAGCCCTGGTCACAAACCCAGCTCCAGCTCTATTTTAATGATTTTTTTAGGCAGCCAATTATGATTGCATAGCTCGAAACCTCTCTAATGGCAAGATCTCTTGATTGTAATAAAAGCTTAATTACTGCCCATCTTGAATGTCCAGAACACTTGAAAATAAGTATTTATGAAACACATTTTCTCCTCAACAGAAACATTACTTTTTTTTAAAGAGAGATATTTTCCCAAGTATATTAGATAATTTTTTAAATTACAACAATTTAATAACATAGTACCAAAATTGCAATTTTTTATGGTCAGTGAGAAAAATGGCAACAAGTCAACTTAAAATCTAGTAGCACACTACTAGATTTTAAGTTTGCATATAAATTATAGCTCTAATCAGAATTCTTAAATAAATTATAGCTTCAATCAGAACTCCTTAAAAAATTATGGCTTCAATAAGAACTTAAATTTGTTATAAAAATAATCAATTTATGTTATTTTATATATATCAAATTATGTATATTTTATTTATATTATTTGTATACCAGAACTAAAAAACCAAATTACAAAAAGCACCTGCAATTTTTGATGTTGTCTGGATTTTTCCTGGTGTTGCTCACTTATTTCATTGAACCTTTGCTTTGTCTCTGAAAGCTCTTTCATTTTTGCTATTAAAAATTGTTGTTCAAAATATCATTTCAGAACACCTATCAAATTTTTATTTTACTTATTTGCTTGCTTTAAAAAACCTTACATGTTAAGTCCACTTTCACAGCTTAATTAAAAAATTAAGGAAAACTTCTTTTCTTTTTATCTATTTTTATATTCATATTATTTATATATGCTCTTATATTGAAATAATTTATATTTGAAAAAAACAAATCATCCAAGAAGAAGAACGCTTTTCTTTTCCAGTAATATTGTGTTTCTTCTCTAAATGTTGACTATTTATGTTATAAACAGTATAACTATTTAAAACATCATTTTACCATACACATCAGTATGATAATATGTTTTTAGTTTTCCATAATATTATTATTTTTTTACAAACACATCTCTTAAGTATAATTATAGTTTTAATTATAGTTTTAATTACAGATTTAGTTTTATATTAACTTCTGCATTTTAAAATTTTTCATCTTTCAAATTTATAATATATACAAAAATGAAAAATGAAAAAAATTAGTTAAAGAAAGCTAAGAAAACTAGAAAATGCATTAACACTAAGCTGAGTATTTTGAAGGTCCTAAAAAGTTTCACCTAGCTAAATTTTTTAAGTTAGAACAGGACATTGCTACAAAAAATGATATTGTTTGTAGTTATGTCTTGATCTGCAGAGTAATTAATGTAAATTGCTGCAGTATAATTTATGTAAATTACATTAAATGCAAAAATTACTAGCCTATAATAAAAATTCCCCAATTTTTTCAAGTAAGAATTGCAGAACATTGATATATTCAAACTCTTAGTTTAATATTCATAGTTGCATGGCTAATAAAGTTACATAACATAGTTAGTGGTACTTAGAAGTGCTCCCCTTCTGGAGCCTCTTATTAATATCAGTGCAGATTTTGCTGCGCTAATGAATATTAAAAAGTTGTTTTTTTTTTAAATCTTTGCTTCCAACAAGGCTGCAAGCAACCACTAGTTAGTGTTGGAAATTACTGGAAGAAAAAAGATGAAGATTGTAGAGCAAGATAACGATTGACAGATGACTTGAAAGATTGCAAAATATATGAATCAGGAAAGCAAGATGAAGGAAGCGAATTCCAAAGAACTGATGTTCGAGGAAAAAAACTAGTTGAATAAGAATTTTTGGAGCACTTAGGAACAGTAACAGAAAAAGGATGAGACTTAAATGATAAGTAACACGAGAGTGGATTTTAGTAGATGGCACAAGAGACGCTAGCTCTTTAGAGCAGTGCCCATTATAGTATTTGTAGAAAAGAGAAAGAGAAGCAACATTATGGCGATGTAATAATGGTTGAAGGTTGGCTGCAAAAGCTGGTCCAACTATGTTTAAAATGCGTTTTTGCACCTTGTCTAAAAGAGAAAGGACATCATTAGAAGATCTGCCCCAGATATGGCAACAGTATTCCATACAAGGTCGGATTAGAGATTTATAGAGATAGAGAATAGAATCCAGAGTAAGAAAGTGTCGAGCTCGATAAAGAGATGCATCTTAAGCAGATGCTAATTTTGCTACAGATTTAATAAATTTAAGCAATCAGGGAGAGTTGGCTTCTTATCATGACAATAATAAATGGTAGTGTCATCAGCGAACAATGCCACTTTAGATGTGAAAATATCTGGAAGATCGTTAATGTAAATCAAAAAGAGTATAGGGCCAAAATTAAATCTTGAGGAACCCCTGAGGTTACAGAATATGAAGAAGAGTGCTGTCCATCAAGGACAACTTTTGTACTACAATTGGAAAGGAAGGATTCAATAATCTTAAAGATGTTACCAGATGCACCGTAAGAAGAAATCTTATGGTGAAGACCAGCATGCCAAACTTTATCAAACGCTTTAGAAATGTCAAGAGTGATGGCCTTAACCTCTCCATCTTTACCTAATGCACAATAAACCCTATCAGTTATTACTGTTAGCAAATCAGCCATAGAACGAGAAGATTGAAATCCATATTGATGATCAGAAAGTAAGTTATTAGATTTAAGATGAAAGATTAAGTATTCGTTAATTAAAGATTCAAAAACCTTGCTTATTATAGGAAGAAGACTAATGGAACGGTAGTTCGACAAATCGAATCGCTCTCCAGAATTTTTAAAATTAGTCTCATATAAGTATTTTAATGCAATATTAAAAAAAAAAGCTTAATTCAAAAGTACCACCTCCTAAATTGCTTCTCAAGAATGGCTTATTTGAATAATGATACAGTTATCTAAAAAATATACTTTTTCTGTATTTTCTGGAAAAGTTTCTTTCTCTCTTCTACAAACACTTCTCAAACATTTACATGCTCACTGCTCAATCAAGTAATTTTTTGTTATCTTAACAATATTCATTCTTACATGGCTCATCACTGTGTTGAGCCATCATATTATCACTGGTATTGTTGTTAACATCCTTTGTGCTTTTTAAATTTTTTTCTTATACATCAACGCTAATTTAATGCGGTAGTGGTGTAGTGGTAAAACACTTGCTTCATAAGCGAGAGGTTCCAAGTTCCATCCCCACCACGTCCCTGGTAGTACCGCGCTCAACTTGTTTCTCCGCGCAGCGGCCTGGTTTGTCAAGGTTTGTGTTTTGGGGTTAGAGTTGAGAGAGGGTTATAACCACTATTAAGTAGCCTCCTCGTCTATAGTGGCCTTCTCAGCCTTAAAGAGGTGAATAACAAAAAATAAAAACAAAAAAAAAATCTCAACACTAGTCTTGATTTTCTAGTACATTTAATTTGGAACTTTTTATCTGCTAATATTTATTACTTAAACTGAAAATTATTTATTAAAACAAACAGAAAAAATAAAATCTCTAAAATCACACATTAAATTATGAAAACAATACACAACCTGTTTAAACAATATAAATTATGAAAACAATACACAACCTGTTTAATTTTGTGTGATTTTATTTTAATAAAGTAAATTAATAAAATTGTAATAATTATAGTAAACATCAATAAAAGATGAAAAGATATATGATAAGATATGTAAAGATACACTTAATTTCTGCTTGCAATTTGTTAACAAGTTGTTCATAGTAGTGTTCAAGTTTATTTCTTGATTCTTTGTTTTTATTTGAAGAATACTCATGAAACAACTTTTCCTGATGCGACTAAAAATTACAAAACAAAAATATTTTTATTTTATTTGCATTTATTTATTTAGAGTATCAAGCAATAAGTAAGATATAGATACAATGATTACAATGCATTAAACAAAATGCATTAAGATATATACTTTATTAAAAAAGTTTAATATACTCATATTTCGTTTGTTAATAATGTTTATGTTACCAACTAACAAACTTTAATTCTAAGATACAACAAATTTCAAAATATTTTCAATGGAACTTTGTTTGTTGTTAATTATTGTTACTCTCAATCTTATCGCTACTCTAAACAAGAGTCTTGTCAAAAAAAACTGCTGAAAAGAGAAACAAGTGGAGTGTGATACTACCGGGATGTGGTTCCCTGGTAGTTCCATACTCCACTTGGTTTTTGAACTACTTAATTCTCTTAAAAAGGGCTTATTACATCACTACTGCATTTTTAATTTCCTTTTCTGTTCAAACATTTTTTTTTTGTTGTCCTATTTGATTTATGTCAAAAACAATTAAAAATACATTTTCAATATAAGAACAGTATAATATATAATATAATTTATTACAACAATTATTAATAGCTAAGGTAACACCCTAAAACATCTAACAAGAAAATAAACATATTAGCCTTTCAATCTAAACCTTTAAAATTATACTTTCTTATTAGTATGTAATGCGTTTACAGCCAATTCTGAAAAGCTAAACAAATAAAAGCAAAGTACATAGTTGATCTGCAATCTCTTTGTAATGTCAATTTGAAAAACCATACGTACTAGATAGCATTATGTCAATTAGAAAAACTATGCCTCTTCTATGTAAACAAGGATTTATTATGCTTATTATAAGTATTTCTGTGTTTACAGTGGCATTATGACGCACTTGTTTCCTAATTTTTCAGTGTTTTTCCTGGCCTCAAGAGCTTATTAGGAACCCAATCCCCTCTCCCTGTTATTTAATTTTAAAGAAATAAAAAATACTTCTACAGCTTATTTTGCTCTAAGCAATTTTTACTTTCCTTTAAAGTGTCAAAAAACTAATTCATAAAACAAAAACATAAAAACATAATTCTCTCCATCGTCAATTTAAATTTATGAAATGAACTAAAAAAAATCCTTTTTTACTTTTCACAAATGGAATTCTATTGAGAGTTATATTTCTGAAGCATTCACGATTACCTTTAGTTGTGTTAATTTTATGTGCTAAAGCCATTAAGATGATTAAAAATTTTTTTCATGGAGAGAAGGATATAAATTCTATAGCTGTTGTCATGTTTTTAGAACTTTGAAGTTTTTTTATAATTCTGACTCTCCAATTTATTTAGACCTCCCCCCCCCCCTTCCCTCATTTATTAAATTTTTAAACTTCTGCACACCCTGCTTATAAGGAAACATCTACTACCACCCACCTTTCCCCCATTTATTTGACAGGTGACTTGGTTCAAAATTTTAAAATAGACACTGAATATTAAAATTTAATATAGACACTGAATTGTTTTAAAGTTAAATTTTGTTATAGAATTTGCAGTTTTTTCCTTTTTCTAAATTCAATATAAGTATAATAATTCTAATTCAATCCATTTAAATTAAATCTAACTAAAAGAAAAGATTGTAATTAATTTTTGTTTGTTTAGTTGAAGACAAAAATTTGAAATAAAGTTTAAATTTTATAAATATTTTATAAATAAAATATAAGTTTTAGGTTTTATATGACTGTTGTATAAAAAATTAAATTTATTTTGTAATGTATAAGCTCAATTTTGAGTTAAATTTTTTAGTTTATCTTAAAGGAAAAAATTGAGATAACATCATCAGTTTGTCAAATGTAGCATTTGGTGATTTTTTAAAAATATATTTAAAGTCTTCAATATTTTAATAAAAGTGCTTTTATCATTGTTTAGACAAAGCACTAAAAAAGATCATCTAGTTCTTTTACAAATAGTTGTTTGTTATTAGGATTTCATTTATTTCTCTGTAACTAAAGTTTCTAGACTTTACTTTCTAGGTATTTTAGTGTTTAGAAGTTTTAGTGTTTTTTTAGTCACTTAAAAATTTTCATTTTTATAAAAATTGGAACTAAAGCCAAGTATGAACCATACAATGATTAGTATGGTTATTAGTATAAATATAACAAATCCAAGTAATATGATTATCTATAAATTCTAAAAGGTTTGACAAGATTGATCAAGATGCAGATAAAGCCTTATTTAATAAATTTCCTTGAATTAGCTTCTTTTTTTTTTCCCTTGCCTAATATAAATTTTATGGATAACAGAAGAATAAGTAAAAGTGCACTAAAAAACAAGTTAAGAGTGGTACAACCAGATATGTGATGGAGAACACCTCAGAACTTCTTGCTTACAAAGCAATTGCACTACTACAACTTTAGTTGTAAACTTAACTTAACTTGGAGAGTGCAATAGAAGTCATTATAACCTTTAATTTCTAAATTTAGTAATTTTTTAATAAACATGCCATTCAATGTATGGTAGGCAAAAAATGTTTCATAAATAATGTTATACTTTCTAATATTTTTGATTTAGTCTTAACATTTTTTGTTTCAAAATTTGTATGTTATGATTTTAATTATTATTTGTACTTTCTTTTTATTTTGTATTTTTGTTGTCATGTTTTATGTTGAATTACTTGACAAATGTGTTGAGTTGAGTTTTATTTGGTTGATTAAGTTATTAAGATAAGAAATGATTGAAGAAATTACTGGAAGTTTTAATTGCATTGTGTTATTTTCTTTTATGACATTTTAATAGTTTTCTAATAGTTTTTAATTATTAATTATTTTTAACAAGTTAAGTGGTTTTTAATCTCAATATTTTTGGATACTATATTGTTTAGACTCAGGCAAAAATTTTGTATCAGAGGTTTGATTTTGACTAAAGACATTTGTCAATTCATTGTTTTATTTTATATAAATAAAAATATGCTCTCCTAAGTTGAATTTAAAAAAATATTTTTTACTAACCTGGTACGTCCAGAAAGCAATAGCCCTTGATGCAATTTCCATAATAATTTCAGGTTTTAAACCAGCCAAAATCATCTGCAGTAATATAAGTCATAATTCAAACATGGAACTTTAATAAAAGACTTCAATTTAACAGAATAAGAAAACAAAAGGTTTTAAAAACCTTTATGAAAAAAAAAAAAAAAATTGGAAACAAAAACAATAATAAAACTACATATAAAAAAATTTTTTACATACAGATTTGTACTGATCTGCAGGTTGTAAATCATGGCGAACAATATCATGTTTACCACTTAAATTTGTTTCACCTAAATAATTTTTGAAATATATAATCCTTTAAAATGAACTTCAATATCATCTATGTATATCTTGAAAGATAAAACCTGTGTATCTTGAAAGCCGGTATATATGAAAGTAATTATTTAAGTAGCAATTCTTTATATAACATGTGAAGTAACAATGTTACTAA